AACGTCAGTTCGTTTTAGTTAGTTTATGACTGATACAATAACAGGTTTAGTATTAGATATCAAGCATGCACAGGTTAACTGGGTAATTTATGATTTAATTTATCAAAATTTAGAACGCTGTGAAGTTTTGCCAAGTGATATTGTAAAAGCGTGTTTGACTATTGCCATTGTCATGACGAGGGAGGACTTTGTCATGTTTAATGCTTTCTAGTTTAATCCCGATGCCATAGCTACTGTGTAACATGTATTTTTGTGCAATTATTTACAGAAATATCTTATTATGAATGGGCTATTGGTTCTACACCAGCTATTGCTGACATTTTCCCGTTCACAGTCACAAACTGTGAGTATGGAACTGCAGAAAAGCTTGCCTTACAAGAAGGCCATTCTTACTTTATTTCAGTCAGAGTAAGTGTATGTGCGATACATTGAATATTCATTGATATAAATGACCGAATTTCGAGACGCCATATGTAGGCTTATTTGGGTTTTGTTTTATATAGGCTTTTAATGGTGCTGGTATGTCCGCAATGGCTACTTCGTGGGCAGTAACAATCGATACAAGTCCACCAGAACCAGGCATTGTATATGATGGTGAGAGAAACAGCACGGTCAAGGATTCCGATTACCAGGTTTTTTTCTTACATTGATCAATTCACCTTGGAAACGTTTGCGCCGTATTATTTAGTATGTAGTGTATTTACATCATTATCTTACAGTTTTTCCTTTTGAGATGCTGAAGTCACACTGTGAATGGGTTGCGGACATTATATATTTTATATCTATCGAATTTCGAACAAAAACATAATCATGTTTATCTTGCCGGATTATAAGTACTAATTAAATATTACATTGTGTACATATCTGCGCACATAGTCTTGCTCTGTGAAATTCAAGAATCTGACTTACACAACATGTAATACACATATTTGCTGATGGTGCTGTGTGTACTAACAACAAATATATAGTGCAGTATACACGGTAAAACCGTAGAAGTGTACGTAAGTACGAATGGAAGTATAATATATCATATAAACATATTGCAGTTTGATACATCAAATATAAATGCCTACTGGGAAGGATTCATGGATCCTCATTCGGGAATTGTTGATTATATTTGGAAGATAGGTACGTGTCGTGGATGTGATGATGTGATGCAAGAACAACACGTTGGACTGGTTACAGGTACAATTAAAATGTACATTTTATAACTTACTCAACAAATAAATAGCTGTACCATTGGTTATGATCTGGATATTTTTCTACTTGAATTAATGCTTATGTATATTTGCAGACATGAAAGCTGATCATTTCAATTTAAAACCTGGATTCACGTACTATACCACGGTAACAGCATGCAATTCGGCTGGCTTGTGTACTTGTGCATCCTCTGATGGTGTCACTCCGGACAATTCTCCACCCATTGCTGGTATAGTATTTGATGGCCCAAGTGGTGAAGACTGGCAATACCAGGCATCCATGTACGTCTCTTATATTCTCAGAATAATAAGCAATTAAAATTAACCTCGAAAATATTTTATGAAATTGGTATAGCTGACATTGCTGTTTTTTACCAATGTTAATCAAGGAAACGACTAGCAGCTCATTGGTACAACTTTCACGATTATCACTCTAAGTTATCTCACTATGAATGGAGAGCAGGTGTAACACGTGGTGGAGATGACATTGTTAGATCAACGCCTCTGCATATAACTGAAAGCCTCTATGTTCCGCAGTTAGAGTCACTCATGCCACAAAATGCAACAATATATACTACTATTAAAGCATACGATAGCATTGGTGAGTAAAGTAATTGACGAAAACTGATGTAATAGATTATTTTGTTTCAACAATCATTAATAATGTAACTCTTTGTAATATATTTAATTATATTTAAACAGGGTTATCTGTGGAAGCTACTTCAAATGGTATGGGAATTGACGTGACTGTTCCACGTATTATAAGACACATAACCGTTAATCATAGTGTGGGATCTATCTTACCAGCTACACAGGTATTACCACTTATTATGACTACTTGTAACAATAATCATGTCACGAATATTAAACACCTGGGTTTGCGTCAAGCCGCACATATCATATCGAGGTTCATGTTTCTCATTACAACTAAATTAGCAATATTAATCCAGAAAATCAATGTCTGTTATGAAATGTATTTTCCTCTACTAGGTTTGGAAAAGCTTTCTCCATGTCAACTGGAGATTTGACGATGCTGAGAGTCCAATCGAGCGGCAGATACTGTCAGTTTTCACCAGTTACCAATCAGAAGTAGACGTACCATCAACACAGGTATGTAATATAAAATTAGTGTGGTATCGATAATGCTGAATTGAAAAGCCACAAAATACACATTACATTATTGAGGAACGGCCATGCAAGGAAATGTGTTACTAATACAGATTATTTACATACTTAGGTTCCCGGCATAGCTACGGAGCATACGTTCACTGATCTCTCTTTACAAGATGGTGATACATATTATGTGAAGATCGTTGCATGTAACGCTGCAAAACTCTGTAGTTCTGATCAAACTGATGGGATTCTAGTAAGTAAACGTTAAAAACAAGAGAAATTATTTTAGCAATGACAAATATAACCCTATTCTATTTCATAACACATTATGATTGACCTTGGTTTGAAAACACATTTATACATGTACTAAGGAAAAAAACAGTCAGTCAATATTTTTATATGTAGGTAGATTCCTCTCAGCCGACTGTTGGTACATTTGCTGCGGAATCTAATCATTCTGCTGATCTTTCAAGACACCAAGAAGGATACATGACGTATGTACAGGAGACTGAAGATAATCCAGCAATTATCAAACTAGCGTGGCTTGGTTTCTCTGATATTCACTCAGGAATTACACACTATTATGTGACAGTTGGAAGTCAATATAGTGGTCGAGATCTAACACCGGTATGTTTAAATAGCTGTGAAAAGCGTCCAATTGAATTCCAAACTATTAATTATCACAATGCATATATTATGCGTTTCAGTTTTACCATCAGTTTATACTGTTTTCAGGAGGGTCCTGTAGCATTGGTACATGAGAATGGAGAGCCTTTTCGTGATGAAGGAGCCGTGCAGACTGGAATAGTTGAAATCAACAGAAATCTTGTACCAGGAGAATATATATACATAACTTTATGGGCAGTAAATGGTGTAAGTAGAAAAAATGCCTTATAACCAACGATGTAATAACATCCATGAATGTATTAATATGCAACACCAGCGATAGCTGAGGTTGGTATTACACTTGTGGCTTAAAAGTTGTGCCATGTATGTTTGATACTAATGTTGACTTTATGGGTGAGTTGTAATTTATCAAAACAATTTCCGTCATATTACCTGCTATGAAAGTAGGGTATACCTCATGACGTTACACAATCCATGATGTATATACGCAAGCGTTAGCAAGTGGGTATATGTGGTGGATTGTGCAAAATCGTATTTCTGTTTTTTCATGCCATTATGATATTCAAACTTTATTTTAAATGTAAATTCTGATATACGGGAATAACTTTAAAGCATCAACAATCACGTACAAAGGTGGTACAGTACGCGAAATTTGTACCCCTTGGTAAAATAAAACTGTCCCCTGGAACTAACAAACAGCGATTATAGATACATCGAGAGGAAAGGTCTATAATTTGTCATCATTCATGCCACTAATGAAATCTGAAATTCCTATGCCAGATTTCCGAAGTTGTTTGAAACACAACGAATTACAGATGTTTCTTCGAACTTTCATTCTACTCTAACAAGTACAGTCACATTTGTACATCATTCTCCGTTAGGACACGTCTTTGTATCAAGTTCTTTTAGCTTAATTTAATTTAATTTTAATCTTAAATTGTTTTTATAAACATTTGGACAAAAAACAAGGTCGCTAGTTTACCTGTATGTGATTTATCTTGCTGCTTTGTAATTCTGAAATATCTTGTTCAAAGTTGACAAACGTGAATATTCATTTACAATCTCCCAAAGGTTGGAAAGCGAAGCATGGAGGCACATGACACGTTCGAAGTTGTACAATCCAATGATCATGAAGGAACTCTTGTGTTGTTAAGACGATGTTCGGCACAAACTTGTCAAGGTGATTGCACATGCGCACCTGGATATTCTGTCTGTCATGGAGATGAAAGTAAATGTTCAAATGTAACAGGTAAAATATGGACATAATTATAGCGAACGAAACGCTGCCTCTCTCTATTACTCCTATTACGTAAACGAATGTTTTCATATTGAAATTGGCAGTTCACTTTACTGTGGTAGAAGCATATCATGTATTGGTAATCCTGTGATCGTTATTTATCATTATTATGTACAGAACACTCAGATTATGATCACGTTGACGTATTCGACATTATAAATTACCGGATAGAAGACACTGATCCCCGTGACGTCACTTATTCTTCATCAAGATGTGCTCTAGCAGCTGTGTGGAAAGCCAGAAATGAAGGTAGGCACTGTACAGTAAAAAGTCTTCACTATATTTACATTGACTTATTAAGTTTAATATCTCATGCGTATATTTATGTTTTAAGGCATAGCTGTTGAACGCTATGAATGGAGTGCAGGAACGAAAGGCGATGACCCAGGTACCGGTGTGTTCGACCCAGCAAACGATCGTATTTGGTACGACGTTGGATTAGAGACATATGCAATACTTCTACAAGAACGTGAGTTTCTTCACTCAGTCATTCTCTACATTTATTTATGAATTTTATTCTACCAACTGTTAATGTAATATGAACGCACATTTCGTCCTATAGATCCACTGTTGGAAGGTTTACAGTATGTATTCTACGTGAAAGCGTGGTATGATGAGAGTACGTATGCGATATTTCAGTCAAACGGAGTTACAATATTATACACATCTCCGCGAATGTCTGACTCTAGAAAGGTGTGTAAATTTCAATGTATTTGTCAGGAATTCGGAGAAACAGTCCATGGGGAAGCTTTCTGTTATTGCCAATGACAATGATGTCGTAAATAACTGAAATTTACAGCACTTGTAAACAGTAGCAAAAATCCAGGTTCCCCGTCATAGTATATATAATTATGAAGCACTTGTTTTTTCTAAATCATGTATTCCATCGCCGACCAGTATGTCATGTTACGACTTTTAAGTTTCTACGTTTATTTGTTGAAATTTTGCGGGTACCAACCAACCCTTGACGCGTTATCGATTGAATCAAAAACAGAAACACAAAGTTAATTTGTCTGCAGTAGTTCTTATAATACTACGAAATGTGGAATAATTTAGTATACGTATACTGATATTTTGAGAATAAACTTTAGTACTGTGACAAGTGCATCGTAGATGTTTTGTATTTCAGTTGCACGCTATTAAACGCCATGCGAAAACGTTCACAAGGATTGTTCCAGACGGAAATATAATGTGAAAGAATCAAAATGAGTTTCTGTTTAAAATATCCGTATTTAATATAAGCAAATGCCTTGACCTCAAAACTAACCAGTTATCGCCCGATAACATGACTGAATGCGGCCATTGTACTACAATGTGGAACATCGATTAGTACAACAGAAGAGACAAACGCAATACCGTGTAACGACAAGGTAATAGCACTGGATCATAATAGTCCAGTTATGCAATCGTCAGAGAAGGATTAATAAATAATGTGTCTCTCCTTAGGTTAAAGATTTACATAGTCCTAATAACACAAGAGATAAGGATTACACTACGTCTACGAATACACTGACAGTACATTGGAAGGATGTGTTTACCGATGATATAGATAAACTTGCATTTTTCGAAGTTTCAGTCAGTACGTATAAAGGAGGTTAGTAACAGAAACACAATAATACATTTCTCAAAAATTGTCCAGAGCTACATGCTCACTGTAGACTCACTCGAGATAGACCAAGTATTGGATTAAAATAGTTTTGTTACAAATTGAAGCACACTTACAAACAACTGACATATGTGATAATATCACTAAGCACACGGTGTGTGGTGTAACTGAGGATTATCTTGTCATTGAATTAATACAATTCGATTTATTATTTCAGGAGATGATGTACGACCATTCAGTGCTTCTCGATATTCTCCAGACATAGACACTGTAGTATTTACTGATCTCAATCTACAACCAGGAGTTATCTACTATTCTAACGTCATCGCATCTAACCACGTGAATTTGAGATCAATCGCCAGTTCTGATGGTATTAAGGTAATTTAATAACGTTATTGCATTGATATGTGTACAGCATGACATTGCAAGAATTTAATCAATAAATATAAATGTTATTGTCGGATAGGTTGACTACAGCCCGCCAACTAAAGGCATTGTTTATGATGGACTTGGACTACACGATGCAGATTATCAGAATTCTACCACTACTGTGTCTGCAAACTGGCATGGATTTTCTGATCTACAATCTTATGTTGACTATTATCTCTGGTGTGTAGGAAGCTCACCAGGCTTCGATGATATTCTTTCATGTCAATCCGTTGGCTTGAGGAAGTCATTTTCAAGGACCGTCAAAAGGCGTATAGCAACGGGTGAGTACATTGTACACACTGACATACTCAAGCAAATATGTATTTTATTTAAGACGAGCTAGGACTGGATGTTAAATGACATAGCTATATAGAGTCTAATAGATATTAAAGAGCCGTTGTCGTCGCGCCGCGTCCTGTTCTATATGGGACTCAAACACACGATGCGTGACGACATTGATTGTAAACATTTGATCAAGGATTAACAACAGAACGTGGTATGCGTTTTGTAATTACTAGTGCAATATTTACTCACTATACTCAATATTTGGGGTTCAAAAATAAAAGTTTTAACGTTAAAGTTTCTTGTTTATTTCCTCTAGGTACCAAGGTTTATTCTAAAGTCATGGCGGTTAATACTGCTGGTTTGATATCAGAGCCCGCCATATCTGACGGTGTGATCATAGATGCCACACCACCAGAAGTTTTAGAGAAGTTTAACTTCAGTGACAATTTGCTGAACAATCCATCATTTGAGTACCTGATACCAAATGACAAAAACAGCAGTGTATTGTCAGGGGACTGTGTTTCATCGGACGTACCAGCTGACTGGATACTAAGTGGAAAGGGTTATGTATACTCATGTAACAACACATTAGCACAGCACGGCAACTCATTTGCAGTAGTAGTCGGTGAAATATCACAGAACATTGTGACAACTATTGGCGAGAAGTATCGACTAAGATTCTATGCTAGCTATTCACCACATTCTATTGTACCTGTTTTGTCACAAGAAGGATTCGTTCAAATTTCCCGTTTATACAAAGTGTTTAAATTGTACCAGCGAAAAGGAAGGTTAGATTCTCGTTTTAATTTTTCTGAGGGCGATATTCAGTGGCACGAATACGTAGAGTACTTTCATGCAGAAGAGCATATGACTACCCTTCTTATTGGATCCATTGGTAGAGGAGGTAAGTCAATACTAGGTAAAACACAAATAATTGTTGCAATAATATAGTTATTAGTTAAGATACCGTTATTATTACAAATATGTAACATATTTTATACGTGTCACCTCATGTAATAGGTATTTCACTTGATAACATTGAACTACGTCATCTGAGTGAAGGAAAGAGAACACCATCAGAAGACCCAAACCATCCTGTGAATAATTTGACTAGTCCTGTTCACATTACAATTCAACGTGTTGGGAATTATCACACCGTACAAGCAACCTGGGATGTTATTGACTCTGAAAGTCCCATAGTCGACAACATGTGGGCAATTGGAACTACATATGGTATGAACACTTGATGGCACATTCCATATCAAAGTTGTAGTTTTTTATTATCTCAAAGTATAGAATTGAAAGTCTTATACGCTTCGGAATGGAAAACATATTAACAGATGTGTATTTCAAGTTGCATGCATTATTTTACTAAGTTGATCACACTTAGTCAGCTTTCACTTCCGCACTTATCATGCTACATTACAGGTAGTACTCAACTCCAAGGTTTTACTTCCATTGGTCGCAAATTCTCAGCAAACTGCCAGGATCTGGTATTGTCACATAACACTAAATTGCATGTGACAATAGTGGTGACCAATATCGTTGGAATGGAGACTGTAATACATTCGGATCCTATTACGGTAGACCTGACTCCTCCAAATTTGTGTTGTGCAGAGGTGGGTTATCATGTTTATTATTTTGTATTCATACGCTTTTTAAAAAATTGTCATAGTGGAAAGGAATGTTGAACGAATTAATCCATGTCACCGTTTTATTAATGAATTTTATTGTTTTTTCTAGGATGGAAATCAGGATGACGATATAGATTATATTACTGGCGATCAGTTGGTTGTACATTGGCGCGTAGATGACCCAGAGAGCGGTGTTGATTCATGTGAAGTAGCCGTTGGTATGTAGGGTTCAATAATTATTTAAATGATAAGCACAATCAATCATTGAAATTGACATAGTTGGAACACCACTAAAATGTATGTTTCATTTATTTTAATGGCATTCTATAATTTATATCTGGAATTAGGTTTCAGTCCTGGAACAGATGATGTGGGTAACTTTCATTCGACGGATGAGTTAAACCGAACACAGATAGACTTGACTGGTATGGTGGCACACGGAGAGACGATTTATTCCACGATTCGTTGCCATAACTACGTAGGTGCGTCATCTACAATTACAACAAATGGTGTTACTGTAGTTAAGGATAATCCAGATTCTCGAGAGGCATTCATAGATGTAACTACAATGTCTGAAACGCAGTATGCAACAAGACGCCACCACCAGTCATTGTCCAATATGATTGATATAGCCTGGCACGGATTTGAAGATATCACCGGTATATCGCATTACCAGGTACGATTATCGGTCAAGTTCCTCAAGTATATCTACTTAACACCAGCTCCCATATATGAATTGTTGTCAGTTATTTGGTCGAGATATTGCCTTCGGCTTATATTATATTATTATACATCTGTCTACGTAACGCCATAAGTTGCCGTAATTTTGCAATATTTTACGGGGTATTTTCATCCTACCATATTAGCAAAGTTTGACAGGATTCAACACAAAAAACTTCGCTGATTCTGTTCTAAACGTTTTAGATTTCGGCATTTCCATGGTGTATCCTTGGAAGGAAAAGATATATAACAATTATTAGGTGATTAGGAGAGTACCTCAAAGTATGCACTCAGATAGTACGCCGCGCGCTGCGCGTCGGTCGATACTCCTTGTGGAACTGTCTTCGTGCATATTTTGAGGTATTCTCGTAATAACCTCATACTATTGTCAGTTTTCTGAGACAGGCTATGTAAATTGCAGTTGCCTAGTCGAATCACTTGTGTCCTGCATTCACTGACGTCAAGAGCCGATTGCATTGATTGACAAAAAATCTAATGTTTATTTCAGTGCAAAATAGTGAATGGTAACAAACAGTATCTGGGATGGACAGACATCGGTAGAAATGGCGAAACATTTGCAACGTTATACGGATTAAACATGCACTCTTACACAACATACGAGATATTGATGCGGGCTGTCAATCATGTTGGGTACCACAGCGGTGTTGTGCCAGTCAATGTTACCATAGAAACGGAAAAGCCAATTATTAAAAGTGAGTGTATTCAAATAATCTTTACAGATCATGCCAATTTTATGATAATAGAAGCGTGTTTATGGGTATGAATAATTTCTTCCATGCTATATTGGTTAAAATATTGCTAATGACATTTACCTTCCCGTGGACATTGGGTAAACAAACATAAAATTTTAGTTTGTATTAACTCCATCCTTTGGTTTTTATTTTAGAAAGTGATATCAGCGTAAACTGGTTGTCTACATCAGAGGTAGAGATTGATTGGACAGGTTTATATGCCAGCAAATCTTCCATGGTATATGAGCTCACCGTAGGTACTGTATATGGCGGCAGTGACGTGGTCAAATGGCTGGAAACCATGGAAACTAGAATACGAGTATCAGACATTGACCCTTCATACGAATATCACCTGACCCTGACGGCCATCAACGAATCCGGTCTCTACGAAAGTAGCAACCACGTCATTGTTTACTTTGAAAAATAATGCTTAACGAATACTGACACCGAATACATGCCTTTATATAATTTTTGGATGTGTTAATTATAAATATTACAAATATGAATACCATGTAACCATGCGCTTATATATCAATTCAACATAATCATAATTTTAACTTTCCAAAATCAGCAATCAAATTCTTAACGATGATTCCAATTGTGTCTATTTCAATGTGCCGTCCTATGTTTTTCAAAATGTTAATAAAATTCAACATTACAGATCTATTTGTCAATTCATTGTAGATAGTGTACCATAACAGTGTAATCGACCCACATGTGTAGAGATAGAATATGCAATCATACATCGAAATACATTCGTCTACATTTTTTGTTCAAACAAATAAAGCCATGCATTGCAAAGATGGTATAAGCTTTCGATGTCAACAATGTCTGAATATTTGTCTGTCCATATTATGATGTACATATTTTTAATGAGTTTTCGACTGTAATGCAAGTGTAGGGTTACATCGAAACAATCGACGGTAATAATAATGTATATACGTACACTTCTGATAGATTTATGGATTCAGCTCTGTGCATTGTGCATTTGAGGCCGTGTCCGTTCTTCTCAATACTCGTTTGGTCACTGCCTGTAGTTAACGATAATATTTTTTGCATTTTTTTTCTGATCTACATGGTTTCCCTTTTTCAAACCTTTTTCATGACAAAAACACGTGATCCAAGCAGAAGATACACTGAAGCAAATTGCTGATTCCGTGACCAATCGCGGCCATTACAATATTGCATTGATCGAGAATAATCAAAGTATCAAATATCGCCTAAAAAACCCTTCACCTTTTTCATTGAATTTAACATCAGTAAAACAAATATCAATATGCGCCCATCTACTCCTTCTGCAGATGTCTCCCCTAGTTAAAATATT